TAGTCTTTTTGAATATATCTTTTTTCTCAATTATACGATGATGTTTTTTATTCAATTCAGAGATTTCTTCGTAATCAGACTTTTTAAACATCTTGATCATTTCATGATGATATATACAAAAATGTGGTGATCTTATATTAACAGTATGGATTGGTGTTTTTTGAGTATCTTAACGCATTATAATTCTTAATTACATCATTTCAATATGTATTCGTTGATAAATCTAACTGGATCATCTCTTAAGCTTATCGGTTTAAATTTTTTTGATTTTTTTATATGATAAGACTTATTAGACTAATGTATAGCCCTATTTATAAAGTTGTGAAGTAGTTTTCTATACAATTAAATTATAATTTCGTGAGTTTTTCCGCATTCATATCACATGTCGTTAAACAATAAAAAAAAAATTTGTGAATCCTCTTTATAGCAAAAACTTAGTTTGAACAATAAAACTATCTACCCAAATTTTTGATACTTAACTCATATGCCTTATACATCCAAACAAAGTAATAAAGTTAATAAAGTAATATCTAAGTCATACTCATACATAACTCTCTAATATTTTATTTTTTCAATTCTTCATTTTGAAACATTTTCTTTGTGAATTTTCAGAAAGCCATATACTTACTTTTACTAAGAATCTATTTGTGTTCAGTTAATTAATTAAGATATTTTAAATGTACATAAACATTTTTTGTAATTCTATTTCTTAAATTTTTGGTATATACTTAATTACTTATTAGTTGTAATTAAATATCTAAATGGATTTTTGTTTTAAAGCATTTCTTGTTCACACTTAATCAATATCTTTTAGAAACGTTTAGTTATACTCTGACATCAAAACCAATCTCTGAAAGTTTAACGGAAAAAAATGTTATGGAACCTTTATGCCAATACATTCCCGAATCATAAATTTAGCAACACAGTTAAAATACATATATAAACATGCAGTCTAAAAAAAGTGTATAGACCTTCTAAAAATACGTAATAGTAGTAGTTTTTCTACCTAGTGGCGCATGTCTCTAGGGCAAGCAATAGGCCCAATGGACCTGTAAAGCAAGGCAATTTTTCAAAAAAAGTACACTATTTAAAATTCAGAGAATGAAGGATAAAAAAGGAGGTTCCCGTGCCTCCCGAGGCTTCCTTGTTATCTCGTTTTCGTCTTCTTCACCAAGAAAAGGTGCACTTTCAATTTCATCCTCGATTACAGATACATTCCGTTTTTTTAGCTCCATTCCTTGAGAAGGTCCCTCTTGACGATCAGGGAGGGGTCGAATTCTTCTTTTATTCTTGATTACAATTTTTCTCGATATTTTTGGTTTTAATATTTGGTACAACTTTTCGAAAAAAAGTATAATTAAACCCAAGAGGCATCCGACAAATATAATTACAAAAAGTGGTATAACCTCTCTTATACTAACCTCTTAGGCTGGGTTGGTTACGGCCAAGCTTTAGAAGGGAGTACTTTCTTGCTGTGTTTGCCTATAAACTCTTGGCCTCGGGTGAGCCTTCGTACTTGTTCGACTTACTCCCCCGATTTGCGGATGGGCTCTGTTGTTCAGCGCGTCGTGATCGGCCGACATTTATGATTCCCACAGCATCGCTATCGTCATACGCATCAGCCTTTTCGCAGAGACTTATGCGGTTGTGGGATACTATTCCACTAAGTATTAGGCAGGTTGATTTGCTGAACGTCTTTAAGACGACTCTTTACCGTTTTTATTTAGAAAAACAGGGGGACTGACTACTAAGCACGCTTATGTTTAAGATTGTAAGTTCTACTAAGTCATTATGGCAAGACTGAAAATATTTTGTTACGATTAATTATTACTTGTCTTTTTCAAATCTAGGGTATACTGTAAATGAAACTAAAATTAAGTGCGACCTAATGTAAATTAACGAATATATATATATATGTATAGATTGCTATGTTAAATTGTCGCCGTTCAAACTAAATCAAAATCTGTAAAAATTCTGTAACTTTTGTTTAATACTGTCGATAATATCAATATCAAAAAATCTTTGTACTTCAAAAAATTGCCATTCGGGTAATGCCCTTGGCATAAATAAATTAGCTTTCAAATCAAAAATCAAATACTAAAAGATATAAATATATTGGTTTTTTCGATATTTTCCTTAAAATGACGTAAATCGTTTAACCTAGCTAGTGCGCGATGTTTAATACTTTTTCTTATACTGAAAGAAAATTTTATTGTAATTTCTGGTCAACGATAATTTTCATTCAAAGACACTTACAAATAATTGAAAAATCCATAGACAGGATGGCCTTTTTTAAAGGCAATACCTATTTGTTTCAATCTATCTTGTGGAAATGCTACTTGTTTGCATGTTGATTCAGATATTGTGGGATGCCGAAGAATACTAATTCCGTAGTAAGAAACTCTTTCATTGCATACCTAAGTTAAAAAATCTTTGAATAGTTCATCATTAAGAAATTTTAATCAGTAAAACTTTTGAAAAGAAAAACAAATAATAGTAAAGGCCTAAGTGTCCAAAGTATTATATGTAACAACTATACTTATATGTATCAATCAATTGAGCTTCAGTGATTTTGTAATATGTTTTAACAGGTCTTATTTTAACTTTTTGAAATAGAAAAGTTCGCAATGACTCTGGATGATCACTGTTTCTATGGCAGAGACCGATTACGTAATTGTACCCCAAAAGAGCCGTTATTAGCATCGCTAAAACATTAAGCACCATAAACTTGGCGACTTTTTTTTATAGTGGTTCAAAAGTTTTAAGAAGATTTTGTGTATATATATATATATATATATGTGTGTGTGTGTGTGTGTGTATATTGGTTTTATAAAGCTCCCTTCATAATGTGTATCCTTTTATAAGTTAGAGCAGTTTAGGCGCACGCAATTTTAGCTTTTGAATGCGCCAAAAGATGTGCGCCCGTGCGCCCTGTCTTTTGGAATACCCTCAATAGGTAACATATCTCTTTTACGGACCAAATGGCCCGCTCCATTGTTTAATGGCAAAAATTTATTTTAAAGTTGTTGTACACATGAAAATTAAAACTGTTGTATTCTTTCTGAAAAATAGTGAATCACGTACCATGGGCTTAAAGGACAAATAGCACAGTGGTAGGTCACGTTTTTTGTATGTTTGTGTCCGCGGTGCAAACGACGTTTCTTTTATTACCTGACGGCGCGAAATACAATTTTTCGCCGATGAGCATACTTGAGAACTTGAGTCATAGTACGCAGAGCCATGAGGTACGTTGCCACCGAAAGACACTTATGGCACAAAGCACAAAGTAATTCGTGGGACCAAAGTGTGCCCATGGGTTCAAAACTGTATTTTCTGCCATATAAACTATAATACGTTGTTTTCAGTTTAGGCATGCATATTGATTAAACCTCCTCTAGGATCAAATGTAAGTAGCACCTTTTTTATTAGATCTTCTCGTTAATATCAAAGATGCCAAGAATAGTAATGATAAATTGCAACTGTGGAACGCTCAAATTGATACTATTTTGGAAACTTTGGAAACGCCGAGTTTACTCGCTGAGCGCACTAACGACGCGGCCATTATTTTACAAGAACATGATTACTTCAAATGTTCGACGTTGGATTACGTTCTTTTTTATGTTAGTCGATTTATAGCTTCAAAAAGCACAAGGTTTGCAAACGTCAACGGAAAAAAAACTCATTAAGTACATTTTTACAGATTGCACATTCTCTTTCATTACATGAGTCTTAAAAAATCACGGAGCCTTACAGACTAATTGAGATAAGGTCTAAATGGTACATAGTCAAACCATCCATTTAATTATTTTCATTGATCAGCTAGCTCAAGCTTGCAGTGCTAGAAGTCATCAATACGGGTGCAATTAACTCCGAAACAATTTTTATTATTGCTAAAGCTCCACAGAATCTTGGTTCTATGATATACGTTGGCTGTGAAAAGCATTTCATGTCGTTGATAAATAAAATAATAATTTATTTGACAACTCGAACGTTTTTTACACCAAAGCGAGCAAATAGAAATGATGGAATGGAAAAAAAAGAGATTAGAGAAAATTAGTAAAGTTTGCGTTATGCTCCTGATAATGTGGATGGTTGTGTTGATGACCAAATAGTGAAACCAAAAGGGAAGATGGTTAATAAAATTAAACGGATAGCTGATTTACAATCCATTATACTTTTGACTTCATTTTCTATACTTTCTAGCTCAGTCACTAAAAACTAATGGTTAATTGTTTCTGCTTACGTTTTGTTGTCTAATTCTAAAAAAAATTTTAAGACTCCTATTTTTTTATTTCATGTATTCAGTTTGTCCATTCTTGTTGCAATTTGAATAAACATTTCCTTAGTTAGCTTTAAAACATTTTTAAAACCATACAATTTTTACACATTTATTTTCTGAGCGTGAAAGTAATAATTTTCATAAAAAAATTTGTAATAAATTTTAGAAGAAAAAATTATTATTTTGATTCCGTTATAAAATTTCAACCTTATGAAATATTATAACGAAAAGACAACCGCACGGTTACTCCGATTTATAACATAAATATATACTCAGCGTTCGAAGCACTTGGGCTCCAAAAACTTACAATTGTAAAAGTAAATAAGTTTATTTAAGCACAACTTTTACTTTTCGCTATCATTTAAATTTTAATAGTTTTAATCGACGAAAGTAGCTATCGTTCGCTTGAAAAATGGTAACGTACTTTAGCCGATAATGCAGTATTGCAGATGTCAACTATTCCGATGCCGATGTTCTACATTTTACCTTAAACACTGACCGTTAGAGGCTCTAGAACGCGTTAAGTGCCCGGTAAAAGCTCTGAAATTTGTTAAGGAACGGCTGCTCTATCGCGCATGCTTGGCTATACTCAATGGTCCAAAAAGTGCTGCTACTTTTGAGCACCAGAGTCATTGGAGCTGAGTCACCTTCTTTTTTATACTCACGTAGAGAAAGAGTAAGTGCGTGTGTATAGAAACCTATATTTTTTGTATGATAATGTACTGACCTATAAGGTATGTACACTAGAAATATGTACAGAAAATAATAAAATAAAATAATCAGAAAGCCGGAACATGCACATGTGTGTATGTGCATGCACGTAGATTCTTTTTCCGTAGTAAGAGCACATGAACTACGTGCTACGTGTCTACGTTGCTCATAAGTTCTAAAATTTCAAAAAGTAAGTACCCTCATAATTTTTACTTTTTTTTTCTTTATTCTTTTTTTTTTTAAGTTACACTTCTTAAGACGCGTTCTGCGCTACAGAGTAAACTAACGATTTCAGAATAGGTTAAGGGGGCTCCTTCACGAAAGTCCCCAAACAGAGATATATTATTTCTTGTAAATAAAAGTCTACTGAATTTAATGGTGGTCTAAATTATATTTCGAATGGGTCAAAATTTTGAGAAATCCGAGCTCAAAGTTGTAACTATTAGCACGTGTTCCTATGGGGCAGCGTGAAAAACAATTTGTTTTCGTTTACAATAAACCTAAATTAAATGTCCCAGCAGACTGAATATATACGTTTTGTAGATGAAGTCTTCCTCTGTAATATGCTGTATTAAAAATTGCGGATAAAGGACCATTTTAGCGAGATATTTGTGATGGAAATAAATAAATAGTGTCCGGGAGGTCAGGAGGTCACGTGGGTAGCAGACGTACTTGTTCACCTAATCGCGCGAGTTTTCCAAAAGTTGAGATTCGTATAGCTTGAAGTTTGTATGTACCTAGCATGATTTTTATCGAATAATTGTATTTACAATTAACATCACTTAAAACGTCTCCATTTCATATTTTATCCAAGAATAACCTTTACAAACATACCTGGTATAACCTCTTGAGTGCCTTTTTTTTCTCATATTTTGTTACATACTTTTTTTGATGAACTTGCCTTTCCTCCATTCTTTTGAGACTCTATGTGCGTGGTATTTTTTTTTTTAGGTGGATTAGAAGGACCGTCATCCATTGTTTATCAATTAAATGATGTTAATGACTTACAGATACTAAACACTATAGAGGTAGAGTAATAGCAGAAAGGCATGCAAACACGACATATATATACCATATACCTATATATTACATCGCTATACTACACCAACACAGGTGGTCTACCCTGGTGGTGTACCCTCGTATGCACTAGACTGGTCAAAACAATAATTAATTTTTCGTACAAAGTTAAACTACACACACAAATATCATTTTTCCCACTTCATACGTTATTAAAAATATCATAATGATTTTCAGACACATTTGTTTATTAAAAAACAAAACTTTATTTTTTGTTAGTCTTTGACCTCAGCAGTAGTCGTAGGAGCCTCCTTAAGTACCTACAGAAAATGTGTAATGTGTAACGAAAGTGAATATCGCATTTTAATTCTCCCTTTGCCCCGCTATTCTCTCCTTTCTCTTCACCTCGCCCCATCGACCCATCCACCTTACACACTACACCATACCTACACAGCACATAAGTACACAATAGTACATTACGATACTAGTGCGCGAGGAAGGCGATTTACGCACGTGTAGTGTACCTATACAACTTTTCGACACATCGTGCGTGAGATTATGAGCCATATAATGTGGCTCATCATCGAGGTCCCTGCGCATGGCGTGTCGTAAAGTACATTTTTATTTTTATTGGATTTTAATTCTTTATTCTACAACTAATTTTCCTAAAAAAAAAGTTAACTTTCTGTTACGTTTTCGTCATGGTGTTACGGTAAATCTCGAACCGTATTGCGTAAATCGAAGCACGCAATTAGACACCTGTTACCTGGGGCACTATTCATATAAGCGATATATCGTAAAATCGTATTAACTTATCGAATATTTTACCCAAAATCTCAAAAACTGTTATGTGCATGCGAATTCTATGAATTATCGATAGATTAATGCAATTTTGCGATACATCGCTTATATGGATAGAACCCGTTACGAGCGGTCCCGATTGGGAGGGATCTCTTTTCGATTTTTATAATGTGGTTCATTACTTATTTTTAATTTAAATATTCATGTACTATTTATTGATACATTTAGTATGATTATAGATCATATCAATTAATAAATTATAAATTATTTAATTGTATAATTTTTTTATACAACCAGATACTTTCTTCCAAATCATTAGATTCTTTTTTCCAAAACAGAGTAAACAATATCTTTTAGGACCTACTTTTTTTATATCAATGAATATTTAAGTTCAGTTTAACTAAGTATTGAATATTCTTTAAAATAAAATGATTGNCATAAAATTTTTTCATGTTTTTTTTCGAAATTTTCAAAATAATTTTAATCAATTTTCAATTTTTTTCATCTTTTTTTTTTTTAAATGGTTTATTTATACAAGATTCTGTTAATACGTTAATTGGCTTTTACTTTGTTTAATTCCATAATATTTTTTTCTTTCGTGACTATGGTGATTTTTTGACTTAAAGGTGGTTATCACTGTTAGTGGGGGAAAAGTTGAGAGGAGCAAGCGCAAGTATGCAGCAACGCTAGGAATCATAAAGTATACTTTGCTTACATGGATGTATTTACACATACGCTTTTATGCGCACAGGACCCTTTGTTTCTTATTATATTAAAAAAACATCTTGTTCGTCCTTTTAAAAATTTAATAGGTTCATCTTATAGTTATCTATGGTATACAGCAATTTGGGAATTTGTACAGATCATATCCTTATAAATACAATTTTATGTGATTCTTTCATAAAGTTACATATTCAATTGAAATTTTTTTTAATTAAACGTATAAAAAGCAGTAGAGTTAATCGATCTGCAGTTTTTGTGGGTATTTTTTATGCTACAACAAATATACGTTGAATGTTCCAACAATAACTATCAAAAATACTTATGTGTGATGAACGTCTTGAAGGGACCTTCGCTGGCGTGTAATACTACTCTATTAAAGATAAAGCGGTACAGGATGTTTTTTCTCACCCTTAGTGTGTGAGATGTAATGCATCTATCACATAAAGCTTGACGTTAGAGATGTAATCAGCGTGTTGGGTAGGAAATTGTTTTAAAATCATCGGAAGATTTGATGAAAGTGCAGTCTTGTGGTGGCACGTCGTGCCACGGTTTTGACTTAAACTTTTTTTATGTACACTACATATTTTTAACAACTTTTCATTTATTAAATACTAAAATATTTATTGAAACCACACCCAATAACCGAATACCCTTATTCAAACAGTGACTGCACCATCACCTTTCATACGTCGCAGTGGGTTATTTGAAATATCGTTTCATAGAAGGTATATATTTCTATTCATATATTATATCTTACAAAAGTACAACTCCTTACTTGGGTACCCAAGCACCCACTAACCACTGGTTTATTCGTTAAGAAAGCAGTAACTTTAAAATTATGGTATTTACAAGGGGTTTTGAATTAAATTTTTGGAACTAAAAATGCGAACGTAAAAACATCTGGTAAAAGAGAGTTTGAAAATATTCGGTTAAAGCATAGCTCTTGTCAACGTAAATAAAGTATACTTGTAATAAATGGGAATAAAATTAAAAAACATAATAATGAAAAACTATAAAAATAAAACAATTCAAAGCAGCTCATAGAAAAATATATACGTTGTAGTAAACTTTTAAAGTATTTTTTAAATTTAATTTTAATTAAAAAATATCTCTATGAACGGGAAAATACGTAAGTTCGGGAATAGCTGATAAGAGCATAAGGATTGTCATTAATAATTTGATTGCATATAATAAGTATACATAAAATACGAATTTAAGATAAAATATTAAAATTGTCATTTTAAGAAATACCTTAAGCGTATTATAGGTAACCTTTAACTCCAAATTGTTGTCAATTCTCATTGGTAGTGACTCAAAGCGTAGCACTATAATTAATTCAAAATGTTGTTTTTTTACTATATTCTATATTTAAATCATAAAATTTATTAAAAATGTACTTAACGCTAGACGATTTCCATAACATCGAGATCAATAAATCACTAGTTGGAAGTTTCACTTCTGCCGGGGGTCCTGAGACCCACACATATTTTTTTGTTAGGGTGCGTTTACATGGCGTCTTATTTTTTTCAGAACCATGTCTTAAAACTTTCAGATACGTGTCTTACGTGTATAAGTTGCATTGTCTTAAAACTGTCAGACATCCCGCGCGATTTATAACTGATGAAGCAAAGCTTTCTGTTTACTTTGTACTTTTAACAGAAATCTATTATAAAAGTGTTCAGCCAATTGTTGGTGATACTATTAATAAACTGATAATTAGAGAAGATTAATGGCGTCCTTTACGAACGAGATGGTAAACATTTATAACTTACAAATAAAGTATTATTTGACTCTCTAATGAGACAAAAATGATATTTACGTAATATATTTTAATTTTCGGAATAAAAATACGTGTAAAGGTATTGTGGAGATTATGTGGTCACAAATAATTTTTTGCAGCATGAATGTTATGAGACGTTGAATCCTCAAAGTTACAATATTTATGTTTACGATGAAAATCGAGCTTTTGCAAGTATAAATGTACAATTTATTAGCATTTAAGCAATCATAATTGTATCATGAAAAACTGGATGTAAACATAACTGTTGTACAAATGACAATTTCCAGGTAAAATTTTAAATACTGTGTCTGACATTGATGAACATTGCTTAAATGCTAGTTAATTATACACGTGCTTGCAATAACTCAATTTTCATCGTCAGCATAAATATTGTAACTTTGAGAACTCAATGAATCAAAACATTCATGCTGCAAAAAATTATTTGTGACCACATAATTTCCACAATATCTTTACAAGTAATATTATTCTGAAAATTAAAATATACAACGTAAATATCATTTTTGTCTCATTAGAGAGTCAAATGATATTTTATTTATAGGTTATAAATATTTACCATCTCTTTTGTAAAGGATGCCATTAATTTTTTCTAATTATCAGTTTATTCATAGTATCACCTACTGAACAACAATTGGCTGAACATTTATACGTTTCACTAGCTTTATCAGTTACAAATCGCGCGGGATGTCTGACAGTTTTAAGTGACGTCTGACAGTATTGGGATTCCAAACGGTCACGTGACTCTCGCGGTTTATATATGATCACTTGGGGAAAAATAACACAGACCTTATGGGTGTAATTCTATTTTTATTTTTTTTATACGTTTAACGATTGTAATACCATAAAATCCTTTCAATAATATATTTTTAAGGAGATGACAATATCTTAGCTATTTTTTCCAAACTCAATTAGTCTTTTGCAGCTTAAAACTTTCCTTTGAAAGTGCGTAAACGCACATTTAACCTTACCAAAATCCTGCTTGTTTTCCTATATATAGTCCGAAACGGGAGAACTTTGTACAGGTAAAATGTGCGTTTTCGCACTTTCAAAGGAAAGTTTTAAGCTGAAAAAGACTAATTGAGTTGGGAAAAAATAGCTAAGGTATTGTCATCTCCTTAAAAATATGTTATTGAAAGGATTTTATGGTATTACAATCGTTGAGCGTGTAAAAAAAAATAAAAATAGAATTGCACCTATAAGGCCTGTGTTATTTTTACCCCAAGGGACTATATATACCGCGAGAGTTACGTGACCTTTTCAAATCCCAATACACGTAAGACGCGAATCTGAAAGTTTTACGACATGTTTCTGAAAAACATAAGACGCCATGTAAACGCACCCTTACTTATTTCGTTTTTGGTGAACAGTTTTGTTGGCATGTATATTTAAGAAGTGCCATGTAGTCAATACTACATACCAGCCGAAACTTTGACCAATGATTTGAACATGAAAAGTTGTTGCAAAAAATGCTGTTTGCGGCAAGATTGATATTTACCTTCTACCCAAAAGTAAACCTCCATAAAAATGGACCTTCAAGCAAAAACAATACATGCCACAACTATGCCAATCATTTTTTTACCATTATTTGAATGAGAAACCTAAGTGACAGCAATTTTTAGATGTAAAGGGGGAAAAATGACCTTCATAAGGCATTTACAGAGAAGATAAGCCTTAGATAAGCGGTGCGAAAAAATCATTTACCCGCTTTATTAAATCTTGAAATTGACGCAACTTAAGTTTCTGAGTAAAAATTATTGTTAATAAACAATTTCCAAAGTTGCGGCAGGTATTCTTTTGTGTGAGTTGTCAATTTTTTTGAAGATCAATTTTTGGGTAACATATCAATTTTAATCTTGCCATAAATAGCAACCTGTGACATCTTGTCATTTTCTATTCATTAGTCTAGGTTGCGGTGGGTATACCTATGGCGTTGACCAAATAATAATTCTTAAATATAGCAACAAAACTCCTCACTAGAATAATACATCACATAAATACTTTACATATCCACAAATCATGAGGATTCTCAATTCTTGTAAGTGTTTCGCCTAGTATTTTTTTACAACTATCCTCGGTCCTCACAGCTCTTGGTCCACGTAGTGTATTCTATTTTTTTATATCCGGTTAAAAGTACGTTTGTAAATCCATCGGAATAGCGATTTAAATACTTAAGGTGGTAAAGTAAAGAATGATCCGAATGTAGTGTGTATTATCACCTAAGGCGAAGCCGACGGTTACAAACACGAAATCTGACTATTCTTTACTTCTGCACATGGCGTATTTTTAATTTTTTAATGTATCCTTGTCGAAAGTCGACGTTTCTTCCGTCATTCAGAGATTGAAGTGCAACATTCCACTCAAGCAAATACTAAAATCTAACAAATTACTACCAATGCACAAATGTTTTGGTTTCAGCATCAATTTCAATGCGGAAATTATGTATTTTCGACTGAGATACAGAGAAAAGATTTGATTGAAATAAATAAGCAATAGCGTGACACACATTTAAAACAAGGAAATAACATTTGTCTATGATAATTTTTAAATCTTCTTAATGTCAGACCCTAAAAAATAGTGCTATTGTACAAATATATTCTAGAAAAATTGTGAGAATATTTTCTAATAATCATAAAATAGCTACGTTTCCACTGAGTCGTTTAAAGTATAACCATAATAATCATCTATCTTATTGTTTAAGCAAACATTCATATTCTTAAAATTTATTTTCAGCCAAAAATGATAAAGTTGCCCTGTTTCGTGGTGATATGAGCCATTATTCCATTCATACTGTGTGATTCAACCAATATTATGAAAAATCACGTCCCATTAATGACGTAAGTTCCAAAGTTTTATGGAACCACCAGTATAAGAATTATATACAGGGGCAACGAAGGTGAGCAAAAGTAAAGCACTTATTAAAAAGATAAATACTTGAAATTAATAATTTTTCTCTTAAAGCCACAGAAATATATTCCGTGGTAAAAATTGACCAAGAACTTTCTCGCAAGATGATTTACTTGGTAGCAGTTACCATACCTGATCTTCCTACAAAATATCCAAAGATAAAAAATTATTCAAAAAGACGCTATTTGTGATAATTTTTAATACTGATAACGATTTTAAAAAGTTTAAGAACTTTACGATCGTAAAGATCAATGACTCTCGAGAGATCATGATTCATTTACTCCATGCGTGGCTTTTACTATTTCAACCAGCTATTACTGAAAATATTTATTATATTTGCCGAAATTCTATAAAAAACTATCTTCACTTAAACTTAGCAAGTTAAGTGTTAAAAAAATGTGGAAATTATAAAGAAAAAAGGGAGTGGTACGCCGTTGGATCTGAAAACGAAATACAAGTTCAAAAATTCCTTGAATGGAGAAAAAAGAATGGATAAAGTATCAAAGATAATTCAATTTCATCTGAACGATGAAAAAATCTAACTGGTACCTCGGTCACAATAAAAGAAAAGGTAATGAATTTGTTAAATAACAAATTTACTTATATTTTAATGTAATTTTTATTGCATACAAAATATTAGTTTATATTCTATGACATTGTTTCTAGAATGCTCACCATTCTTCAATAATTCAAGATCTGGCATTAAAAACTGGATTAACCGTCAAGTTTCGAAACGTTTCTCATATTTATGCATACCTATTTGGAGGTAAAGAAATTTGAATGTCTAAAGATCTACTTCATTCGTTCATACCATTGAAAAATATTTTTTATTGAACAGGTTTTCAGCTAGTATATTTGAGTTTACTTGATTGTAATTGTGACTGTTTCATTAACATTATGTTAGAAGGTCGCCCTTCCAAACCACTAGAGAGAGAGGAGGTTATGGAGGGTGGCTTTTTGTAGTCAGGACCTCCCTCTAAAACACTGAAATGTGTTTGTTCAGCGAAGAGTAATTTTTCGTCCGTAGTATTTGTTGACAGAGTCAGCTGTGCAAGGTAGACAGAGAAGGAATCCTTAGTTCGGGTGCTGGGTGAATCCTCGGGAAAGGCGTCATGTCCCGCTTCGTCCGGTATAGTTGGTACTCGTTGGTCGTAAATAGGTCCAGCTCGCTGGTGAGTGACTGAATGGTGTTACCCTTCCTCCTTAGCAACGGGGTCCGAGATTAGTTTGATGAACTCGACGCTGATGGGATTGTTATGTCCAAGATGATTCGGGGCTTCGGAGGAAGCTTGGCCGGTCTCGTAGGTTTCCGGATTATATGGTCGTCACGAAGATGAGCCTGGGCAATCTGTCTGGTGTCGGCAGCTTTTTCTTTAGCAGATTTTTGCACGGACTTTTCCCAACCCAGTAAACCTGTGATGTCGGTCTAGCTGCTTGCCTTGGCACGCGTAACTGTACTAGTATCAATCTTGGTTCCTCGATCTCTACACCAAGATGGTAGTCCAAGTTCTGTTTGGCTTGCCACTGAACTCTTGGAGGACCAGTGTTGGTAAGTGAGAGTTACCTCGGTGGCATAGGTCTTAGTGAGAGACAACCCAATGTAATCGCTGACAGGCAGCCCTGGGCCTCTCCCATCTTCCTCGATATCACTGGTAGAAGCTACTACTAAGATTGTTCCAGTACCTAAGAGTTCTACGTATTTTGAATAAACGCGTTGGAAATCCGTCGTTATCGGCCAGTCCTTTATTCTCTTATTCGTCTGCCAGCTGACACAGATTCTAGCGTGGTCTTTCAGAGTTCGCTTTGCCTTAAGTATTGGATTGTGGGAAAGTGCATCTGGCGTTTTATTTAAGTTGCCAGGCTGGTGTATTATATTGAATTCGCAGCCTTATAGTTTCACTTTTAGTCTGTTAAACCGTATATCAGGCTTTTTCGATGTGTGGTAATGTTTTAGAGGCTTGTGGTCTGTAACTACGGTAAATTATCGTCCAAAAAGATATGGCCAGAATCATTCTTTTGCAAACACTATCGCTAACACCTCTTTATCGTATGTAGGATAGCGTAGCTCGCTGCCTTTTAAGCATCTGGACACATAATCGCAAGAACGATTTTTCCATGTCTCCTTGGCTAAGAATTACGCCTATTGCGTAATCCGATGCGTCGGTTGTTACAATAAAGGGTTGATTAATATCTGGAGCTGTATATACTGGCTTGCTGCATAGAGTGTCTTTTAATGTTGTCAACGCTTTTTCTTGTGACTCTTCCCATTTCAATCCAACTGTTTTTATTATTAATTTAGAGAGTGGTTGTGCTGTTTTTGCGTAACCTTTAATGAAGCGTCGATAGTACCCCGCTAACCCAAAGAATTATTTCATTTTCCTCGCACTTGTTGGCTTAGGGAAATTCCTTACCACCTCTATTTTTTCTGGATTCGTTTTAATTTGGCCGTTGCTTACAATACATCCAAGTACTTTTGCTTCTTTTCTAAGAAATTGACATTTTTTAGGCTCTTTTGTGAGATTTGCGTCGGATAACCGTTTTAAGAGCCTTTTGAACCTTCTTACGTATTGCTCCAAGTTTTCTGCAAATGCCATGATGTCATGCATTTACGCTTGTGTAAGCCAGCCAGCGCCAGCGTTATCACCCGTATAAATGTGCTTAGGGAGTCTTTGCATCCCAGCGGCATCTGTTTACATTGATAGTGTCCATTTGGGCCTGAATACGCTGTTTTATGAGCATCCTACTCGTAAATTTCTACTTCAAAAACCTTACTCTTTTTGCAACGATTGGTTCCTCTGTTGACGTTATTCTATGCTTAAGTATGTTTGTAGCCTTTAGGGGCTCACCGTCCAGATCAAATACGAAAAGATTGTATTCTATAAGATTTCGAATGTGTTATAATTTTAAAGAACTTATTACCCTTTTTTCCATTATAACTTCATTATCTTCTACATTTTCATCTGAGTTTTCAGTATCAAGAAGTCTGATCATGGCTTCGTTCAAATCTTCAGCGTCGTCCCCAGTGATGGGTTCCACCCCTTATCTGATTTCACATTCAAGAACATCTGCCTCTGGTATTCGTACATCAATTTGTTTATTTGTTATATTTATAATTTTCGCAGATATCTTAGGAGTTTTTATTTTCTTCTATAAAATTACCAAATAGAATACCCTCTTTTACATTTTGCAGAGGGACCCAGCCGACTTGTACGTGGCTGCTTTTATCGTTTACGCGCGCTAATATTTTTTTCCTTGACTTGGCGGGGGTTTTAAAATATTCTGGTTTTAATAGCAAGATTCTGATGCCTTTCAATTCTAAATAATTTTCTTTGGCGCTTAAGAGGCCATTATATAACTTAAAAGTGTCCCAGTCATTAATGCCTTCTGTTTCGACCAGAAAGTCATCTAGGACTACAAGCAGAGAGTAGATAAACAAGGGCGACTCCAATACATCTGTGCTGCAATCGCCATGGTGACTCCGACACACCTCCCTCCACTTTGCTGCATTTGTACTTCTCTCTCTCTGCGCGTGGCGCGTGAGTTTTTGAGCTCTCTCTTGCGCAGCTTCTTTTATGTGCGAGCGCTGCATTATTTTGATACCACAAGCAACTTGAACGCGGAGCTCTCTCTGTTTTCGATGTTTTAGTTTACAGGAAGTTTTTTTATGCATTCATTATTTCTTATGGCACATTAAGAGTTGATCCCAATACTTATTCTTTTGTATGCACGTTAGGGATCTGTTAAGGAAAATAATGGGTAGTCATTTTGAATATTGTTATAATAAATTTATCCAAAAATCATGGAAATCTTACAATTACAGTTACAGTTACAACTACAATTACAATTACAATTACAATTACAATTTTATTTAAGTTTGTACATATTTACATTTTTTA